ATGAACGGCTGGCAGGAAAGTTGACATTTTAAACCTTAATAAAAAATCGATACAGGGCTTTAGAATATCGATACAGTATTGGGAAATGAAATATCGCGATATTTCAGTGTATCGATATTTTCTTACACCCCTACAGTAGGATCAATAATTTGACTCAAATAAGGAAACTGAGTATAAGTGCCCTAATTAGAGGCTAAAGATAATAGAGTAAACTTTCAGTTTACGTTTAATGTACTTATCAGAGATATGCTTAAAATATGTTACCTATACTTGGCTTATACTAAAGGTATACTTGGAGAAATATACTATACTCAAGTATTCTTAATGACATGTACTATACATCTTTTGGGTAAGTGATCAATGAACATGTCTGAATTATGAACTTAAATTACAATACAGTTTTACAACCTCWTCTATAAAAATACCAATTAGGAAAATTCAAAATATAAATATCTTGCAATGCTTTGCAAATCTCAAACTTATATTTTAGTCAAAATAGAACAAAGTAAACATGATTCTATTATAATTTATGCTCTTTGCATGCATAAGACAACCCAGTGTGCTTTCCATTAGGAACTTAAAACAAATACAGAGAATTATAAAATATAAAAACACAAAAATGAAGCCTAATCATGTGCTTTTGCAAGAAAGAATGACATTTTTTACTATTTGCAGTAGGGGTTTCTTTCAGATCCAGATGTTCTGACTCTTACAGACCTTAAACATATCACTTATTGATAATACATATTTGTTCATTTCAGCTTAAACCGAGTTTAACATTGTATTTCTGTAAAACTGGGTGTGGTGCTTTATCTTCTGAAGTTAGCTTTGCTTTTCACAATGAACCAAAGTGATGCTGTTTTCATCCCTAAAACATGACGTCATTGTGAGAGGTTGCTCCCTGGTGTTTGGGATGTGAGGGCTTCGCGGCGCCCTCAGTACTGCGGAAACAGCGTCCTCGCTTCTATTGCCGCGAAGGAGCGCAGAGTTTAATTTATGCGGGTTATTAATTCAGAAGCTAAGGAGCTAAAGCAGCTCAACGATGTGTCGCTGCGCCGCTGCGCGTGAGCGCCGTCATTCACGAGGAAATCGGTGCTCAAACGAGCGGTGCTCGTTTCTCCGACCGAGACTTTGACACGCGAAAGCATCACCGGCGATGGATGCTTCCGACAAAAACGCGTTAAGATAAAAACACAGTTTTCTTGTTTAATATCGTTCCCGGCGTATTGTCAGCGCTTTCAAGAGCTTCATATGGCTTTCAGCAGCAAGACGACATAAGGAGAACACAATAACTACAGCCGGTTTGTGAGAGAAATGGCAGTGAGCGTTTCRGAGCCTCTCTGTCAGACGAACATCTACCTTGAAGGGTTTAAAGGTAAGACTTCACGTTTGATTCAAGGTTGAGACAGAATTACTTTATTTATAAAAAAGGCTCTTATCAGCCTTCAGTGATGTAACCACGCCCCTGCTGTCACCAGAAAAACACACAGTGACGTGTTGGTGTTTATGACTGTGATCAGTGGAGCTGCAGGTGAGGAGACCCCTGATGCCGGTCCGGATGAGTCCTGAACAGGTGGGCCTGGAGATGCTGTGTCTTTGTGGTCAGCTGGACCTCCTCATCAGGGCGCAGATGCAGCAGGTGAGGGACACCTGGACAAGAACATGCACAACCTGACAAAATACCTCCTCTACTTTCAGATCTCCTCTACTCCTCCCCTAGAAATAACCTAATAAAATAACCCCTGTTACTTTTTCTTGTCAAGTGGAAGTGAAAATATGTGTTGACAGCTCTTTGTGAAGAAAAAAAAATCTGTTGAAAACCCAACTCAGGACCTGAGAAGAGCATTTAACAGGATCTTCAGAGCTCAGTACTGGTCCACAGCCAGGGTTTGAACTGGTTTTTAAAGACTTTCTGATTGCCTACACGTCACATTCAACAGGCTGGTTTCTTCTYAGGGAATACCACACATGAAAATAAAAATCCGACAAGAAAATCCAACGTCTTGAATATCCCAGATTTGAGATTGGAGCAGCCTGGGACACCGGGGACAGTTGCAACACGTTATTTTTTTCCCATTTGACTCTGTTACTCAGAGATGGTTTGAATTAGACAAAACAAATTTTAACACAATGAACTTACATCTGTCTGTTAATAGTCAAAACCATTTAAAGATGATTAAAGCATGTGCATTCTTCACAATTTGCTTTTGAAAATGAAAAGTCAGATGTTGCAACTGACCCCGGGGACGGTTGCAACATTAAGGGATGGTTGCAACAAATTGTTATTACAATATATTTCACTGTAAATAAAAGTTTTATTATTTTTATATTTATATTATTGCTAAATTTACAACAACTGTAAGTTATAAAGATACAACAGGTAAAATAAGTATTGAACACGTCACCATTTTTCTCAGTAAATATATTACTAGAG